TTGATAGATACATGCCCGGTCTCCTCACCTCTGGCCCCACAGTGGGGGTGTCTCTGGGGGGCTCCCTGAGCTCCCCAGAAGGCCCGGGTGCCACTTGCCTTCTTCAATGCTGCCCTCATCACCACATTCCCTTCCCTGGCCCACTTTCCCCTCCCCTGCAGTGCTTCCTGGGATCCCGTGTAAATACACTACTTGCATCTGCATTCCCCTCCAGGGTTTGCCCCTGACAGGGAAACCCAAATTAAGACAGGCATCGATAACGTCTCAAGCACTCCACCAAATCATTCATTCATAGGCATGTACATATCTTCATTTAATCCTCTATAAAGCTGGCATCATTAGCGTCGTTTTACAGAAGAGGAAGAAGACGATCAAAAGCGTAAGTAATACACCCAAATTTACCAAGAGGTGGACCCAGGACGTGAAGCAGGACCATCTGATTTGCTGGGTTCATCACAGTGCTCTCCTCGCGCCCTGCTCTCTGCATAAAAGCAGCAACTTCTTAGGCCCGTATCCCTCTTTGTTGGTCTGGTCACCTTTGGCCTCCCTCTTCCCCCATCTCTCTGTGGAGACCCGAGCCCAGAAAACTCATGGGATATTCCTTTGAAGACCTTGTCTAAAGTTTTCATTTTACGGGTGAGGAAACAGCCTTGAAGGGACAAGGGACGTTTCCAAAGCACATGGGCATTCCTTTCTGAAACGGTGCTTTGCACCATCTGTGAAGAAGGCTAGCGGGGTCCCATGTTATGGAAAAGAAGTGGAATCCGAGGGGTACGCAAGTGGCAGAGCAGGTGTGGGCGGCCGTGGGGAGAATCAAAGGAAGCATCCTTTATCAGACAATTTCCCTTGGGCCAGGTGCTCTGTGACGCCCTTCACCTACAAGCTGACCTTGGGCATACGAGCGGAAGTGTTCAGCATTCTATGGAGCGCCTGGGTGGCTCAGTCGTTGGGCGTCTGCCTTCGGCTCCGGTCATGATCCCAGGGTCCTGGGATCGAGCCCCGCATCGGGCTCCCTGCTCCGCGGAAAGCCTGCTTCTCCCTCTCCCACTCCCCCTGCTTGTGTTCCCTCTCTGGCTGTGTCTCTCCCTGTCAAATAAATAAATAAAATCTTAAAAAAAAAAAAAAAGTGTTCAGCATTCTCATTTGTTGGAGTGGGAGCCCAGACTTATGAAGGCATAGTGATCTGCTCTTATCTCCAGGACAGAGCTGGGATTTGGCCATGGCCCCTGGTTGGACCAGAGCATAAAACAGGAACCTGCGATCAGAAAGGAATGGCTGGAGTGGTGGGGGGTGGGAGGGATGGGGTGGCTGGGTGATAGACATTGGGGAGGGTATGTGCTATGGTGAGCGCTGTGAATTGTGTAAGACTGTTGAATCGCAGATCTGTACCTCTGAAACAAATAATGCAATATATGTTAAAAAAAAAAAAAAAAGAAGAAGATAGCAGGAGGGGAAGAATGAAGGGGGTGGAAATCGGAGGGGGAGACGAACCATGAGAGACGATGGACTCTGAAAAACAAACTGAGGGTTCTAGAGGGAAGGGGGTGAGAGGATGGGTTAGCCTGGTGATGGGTATTAAGGAGGGCACGTTCTGCATGGAGCACTGGGTGTTATGCACAAACAATGAATCATGGAACACTTCATCAAAAACTAATGATGTGGGGCGCCTGGGTGGCTCAGTTGGTTAAGCGACTGCCTTCGGCTCGGGTCATGGTCCTGGAGTCCTGGGATCGAGTCCCACATCAGGCTCCCTGTTCGGCAGGGGGTCTGCTTCTCCCTCTGACCCTCTTCCCTCTCGTGCTGTCTCTCATTCTCTCTCTCAAATTAAAAAAAAAAAAAAAATCTTAAAAAAAAAAAATCACAGAAAACTGATGCAATCCTTTAAAAAAAAAAAACTAATGATGTAATGTATGGTGATTAACATAACAATAAAAAATTTTTAAAAAGAAAGAAAGAAAGAAAGGAATGGGTGAAACCCAACCCAGAGACCTGGGCTCACTCCAGGCTGGAGGTTCCCTGAGGTGAAACTGTTCAGTGGCGCTTGGTGCGGCAGAGAATGGGGTGCAGAGAGAGACAGCAAACGGTCAGAGGTGTAGGACTTAGGAGGCGCCAAAGAGAAAATGTCGCCTCTTTTGGGCTATCACCTAGCTCATTTTGAGGAACAGGATCTGGGGTTCTGGTTTAAACCCTTCCATTTGCAAACTTTAAGAAAAAAAGGCTACTCAGTGACCACGAGACCTCCATGCCCCGCCTTCCTTCAACCCTCAACACACACGCATAATCTCAGCCTTCAATTGCTTCACAAATTCTGGGAACACCTCATACCACCTCTCCCCCACTCAACTCCACCCAACCCCACCCACCCCAGTCCCCTTAAGGCAGAGCTCCCCAGGGAGAAGCATAGCTGAGTGAGCAGAGAAAATCCTTCGAGCAAACCCAGCCTCAAGGAACAGCCACTGGCGGGTGTCGTGGCCACTCACGGACACCCAACTAGATACAAAACGAAGAACTTTGTCCCCTTCTTGTCATTCTGAAAGACTGTGAACCCTGGAGTCCTCAATCATCACACAGGAAGCTGAGGACTTCCTGATCAATCAGGACGTTGAACCTTGAATTTATAAAGATTCTAAAAGCTCCAGAAACAAAGACTTCGTGGACAAAATCCCTAGAGACCAGAGTAAGTGGCACTTGTCTTTTCTGTCTTGTTGGTTACTGTGAGGGCAAGCTGGTTTGCAGACATGCATGCAGCCAGGTGGGACTGTGGTCCTCATGTTGCAGGACATTCTTTACCTGTCTGTCTCCCCAAAGGTGAGGAATTCTTCAAGGCCCAAGCAAACACCTAAGTAGCCCATCGATGCATCTGTAAGGTAATTAATTGTATAGCAATACTGACAAGGGGTGAATTTATAAGACTGGGTGCTCAGATGTAAAATGGGTTTTTTTGCTAAAGAGGGGAAGCTTTCCTGAATGGTTGTTGGTGACTGGTTGAGAAAATCAGCCTTTCTAAAGTCAGTTAAGAAACAAGAGGATCTCTGTGAAAAACCATTCAAGAGGAAATCACTTGCTAAACTGCCCTGTGTAAGCAAAAACCAAACATGGTGTATGAAGAAATTATAGCAAAAGGGAAATATTAATTAGAAAAAACGTTGCAGACGCCAGGATGATTTGATACTGGACCAATTTCTTGAGAAGACTAGAACCAAAGAGCCTCACAATCAGGCCTGATGATTTGTCTTTGGAGGAGGTAGGATTTTACCCTCCCGAAGGCAGGGAGATGTCCTCTTGGGATGCAACCATTCTGTTCTACTAACAAAGAGGCAGGTCAGAATTTGCTCTGAAGAGAGAGGGGCATGGAGGCTACTTGGAGGTCTCTATTTCAACTGTTCCTCCATAAACTCTGGAGTGGCCCACATTTTCAGAGTTAGAAACTCTCAGAAGTTTGCATAGCTTGTCACCAGGCTGTGTTATCACTTTCTCACCCTTGAGTCCCCACTCTGACTAGCAGGACAGCTCTAGGCTATGCATACTGTGGGGAGTGAAGGGCCAATAAATGTTTAACAACTGGCTCTCTTGAAAAAAAAAAAAAAAAAAAAAAAAAGAGCCCTGATTTCTCATGTTTGTCGATTTCTATGGTGTAAATATCCGCACTGTGGTTGATTTCAACCTACCTACCCCCTGAATGCAGAGTTGGGGAGAGATGCACAGGATTGGTCTCTATAAACCAGGATGAACCAGCCCCTGTACACCACCAGGCTTGGGTGTCTTATCACTGCAGACTGCTTTTTCTGCTTAAAGACTTCACCAACTCCCAGGCTAGAGGACGCTGCCACTGCAAGGTTCTGGGGGGCGCCAGGGCTCCAGCTGACCTATGCCCTTGGGGCAGACTTTGCAGCAGATTTCAGCGGGGCTAGGTGGCAACAGGGTCCTTCTGCCTCCCTCCATGGCCCCACACCAGGCCATCTCTCTCCCAGAGTTGTTAGGTGGTGCCTGGCAAGTTGGCAAAATAGTCAGTGGAGTTGGAGGTGGACGGGGGGAGGGAGCTGGTGAAGGCGATTCTCTGTTCAAATGGCACGAGCAATGCTGACTCAGTTTGCCTTCACCTTTGCCAAAATTCCCCAGAAACCGGGCTCCTGGGCTCAGTCATGCACCAGTTGCTCTTTGTGCTTCCAAGCTGCTTGGAGCTTCTGCTATAAACCTGCCAGCCCATCCAAAAATGCTGTCTGCCAAGCCGACCCGTCCACACCGGCAGTGGCAACAGAAATCAGAAATTGTCCACACAGTTTGGTTAAGTAACTGCCAGCCTGGGTTCCTCCAGAAGGAGGGCTGGGGGGCTAGAGGCAAGTCCAGAGCTGGAGGAGTCAGCCATAGGGATGGATTTGACTGGAAATGACAGTCCCCCAGCCAGGGTGTATGACATTGCCCCCTCCCCCACCCCGGGTGCCTTACTTTCCAATGGCCACTGCAGAAATGTGAATTTTGTAGGAAGGAAACATTCATTAAGCAATTTAGAAGGAAGAGTGCTAGAGACTCCAGATTCAGGGTGGGAATTATGATGTAGGTACCAGCTACTTTTCGAACTGGTGGCAACCTACTGAAAATTTCAAAGTGCAGTTCGCATGGAAGGGACTGTCCCGGTCCACCACTGTTGAGCAGAATTCGTTTTCCAGATTAACTATAGAAAGAACTGGTGGGGGGACTTGGGGGAGCAGGTACATCAGCCAGAATAGGATCAGAGCCGGGGACTGGCCTCAGAGAAGGGTCAGTGCAGGGAAGGAGGAACCCTAATATTTACTGAGGCCCCAGCAGGTACTAGGGGGTGGTTTTTCTCATACATTACGTAGCCCTGCAAGGTGTTACTTTCTCACATTACAGATGAGGAACTGAGGCTCAGAGAGGTAGGTTAACTCATCCATAGTCACACAGCTGGTAGATGGCACGAAAGCCCATGCTCCCTTCTGGGAGGTGTCTGTAGTAAGTGGAAAGGATTGAAAAGGAGTGCTGAAAATGGGAGGCTGGGGAGGTCCTATGAAGGCAAGCTCTCTAGTGGTTGTTTTTTGTTTTTCTTTGTTTCAAGGGAACCCTGGTTAAAAATATCTAAGAGCATTTCTCAGCAGAACTCCAGCTACCACCTGGTTGCTTCACGATACCTCATGGCTCGAGGCTGTCCCGAGCTCTTCCCCTTCCCCCCCATCCCTTCTTCTTCCCATCAGGTCACCCCACTCCTCCCAGACTGTACTGTCCTCTGAATCCTCCTCATGGCCCTCACGGGAGGCCTACTGAGTGACCTGTAGATCCACGTGTATGGCGTGAGCCAAGCTGACCCACTCTGGTGCCCTCAGGGTCCTCATCTACTAAGGGATGGGGCTAGCCTTCTAGAATTTCACTATGACAGCCCTATGGATCTTTGGGGTAAGATAATTTTTGCATTACAGGACATCCTCGGCCCTGCCTACTGAATGACCCGACAGTAGCATCCCCTAGTCTCTATGGCAACCAAAAAACAAAATAAAATAAAATAACCCTACACATTTACATGTGCCCCCACCATGCTCCGTCATCCCTGGCCATGAACCTTTTTAGCCCCCCTAGCCCTGAAGATCCATTTGTAAGTTTTGGACTCTCAGCTTCCTTCTGGAGACCCCACAGTGCAAAATCGTTGCTCCATTATTGGCGGCAGGGATGCACGTGAAAAGAAACTCCAGCTCTCATTCTCAAAGATATGTGTCCTTACCATTTCAAACTCCCGCATCATCACCTCTAAATTGGGGAACAGCAGTGGCACCCCCTCTGTGGCGGGGGGTGGCCGGGGGGAGTTGTCTAGCACTAAGTCCAATGCGAAAACCGTGGGCAGGACTGGTTCGGAGCAGTGTGGCGAGGTCTCCCTCCGTCTGTGCCAAAGTAATTGACTTAATGATCGGTGGGCTCATATGCTTACTGCCTACGCCCTCTGTTAGACTACAGGGCCCATGAGGGCAGAGAGGACCCAGATCTCCCTTGCTCAAGGTTGCATCCCAGGGCCTGGTACACAGTCGGTACTCAGCAGACAGTTGTCAGGTGGTTGAGGACCTATAATCACTGCCTCATCTTTGTTGTCCGCAGCCCACTGCCTTTCCCAGCAAAGTACACAGAAACCATCTTCCTTGACTCATGCAAGAAACCAGGATGGCAACCTCAGCCCCCACAAAGGACTATGACATGACAACAGAATATGACTATGAGGGCATAACCCCATGCCAGAAGGAAGAGGTGAGGGCCTTTGGAGCTCAGCTGCTGCCCCCCTTGTACTCCCTGGTGTTCATCACTGGCCTGGTGGGCAACATCCTGGTGCTCCTGGTCCTCATGCAGTACAAGAGGCTCAAGAGCATGACCAGCATCTACCTCCTCAATCTGGCCATTTCAGACCTGCTCTTCCTCTTCACGCTGCCCTTCTGGATTGACTACAAGCTAAAGGATGACTGGATTTTCAGTGATGGCACCTGTAAGTTGCTCTCGGGGCTTTATTACACAGGCTTGTATAGCGAGATCTTTTTCATCATCCTGCTGACCTTCGACAGGTACCTGGCCATCGTCCATGCTGTGTTTGCCCTGCGGGTTCGGACTGTCATCTTTGGGATCATCACCAGCATTGGCGCCTGGGGCCTGGCCATCTTGGCCTCCATCCCAGGCTTCTACTTTTCCAAGATCCAGCAGGAGTTCTCCCATAGCACCTGCAGCCTCCACTTCCCTCACAGAAGCCTCAAAGCCTGGAAACAGTTCCAGGCTCTGAAACTGAACATGTTGGGGCTGGTTCTGCCTCTGTTGGTCATGATCATCTGCTACACAGAGATCATACAGATTCTGCTCAAACGACCCAACGAGAAGAAAGCCAAAGCCGTCCGTCTGATCTTTGTCATCATGATCGTCTTCTTTCTCTTCTGGACCCCTTACAACCTGGCAGTGCTGGTCTCTGCTTTCCAAGACAGCCTCTTCACCGATGAGTGCAGACAGAGCAAACAGCTGGACCTGGCCATGCAGGTGACGGAGGTGATCGCTTACACGCACTGCTGCGTCAACCCCATCATCTACGCCTTCGTCGGGGAGAGGTTCCGCAGGTACCTGAGCCAGCTGTTCAGCCGGCTGCTGAACAGGCTCCCCTTCCTCTCCACCGACAGGCTCGAGAGGGCTAGCTCCGTGTCCCCCTCCACGGCGGAGCATGAACTCTCCGCTGGGTTCTGACTCGGGCCCCTGGAGGCCGGTCCGGGACCCAGCAAGGGCGACCTGCCCGGCACGCTGACCCAAGCCGAGGCACGTTGGGACACCTGGCGCAGCACGGAATTGCAGACGCGTGGGGGTGAGGAAGTTTAATGGCAGTCTAGACTAAATCACTCCCGGGGCGACTGAGTCCTCTCCAAGAACTCCTCCGTGGTAGGAAGGAGGTGAAGGAGTGGAATGGGACATTCCAGAAGACCGGGATGGAGGGTGCCAGGGAAGCGCTTGGGCCCAAAGGGGAGTTCAGACTTGTGAGCATTACCATTTGTAAATAGAGCCACCGAGCATGGGGGGGGGGGGGGGGGGGGGGGCGCCCCTGCCCCCACCGCCAGTGAACTTGGAAGTATTGATTTCCTGCTGACTCCACTCTGAGCGGGGAGCCAATCAGGAGCCAGCAGCCTCCTCCCCAACCTCACCTCCCCCCCACTCCCCCACCCCCACCCCCACCCCCACCCCCACTGCAGGGTTTAGGCTCTTGGAAACCCTGAGGAACCAGGAACTCTCTGATGGGACAACTCGAGCCCTAGTGGGAAATAGGATTGGGGAACTGCCCTCGGCAGTGGAACGGAGAAAGCCCTTGGGGAGAATTTTTATATTTGCAAAAATCAAAACAATTCAGGTGGTGGGCTAGACACAGATTGGGCGAATAATACGTTTGATTTCTTGAAATAGCCACAGAGGGGAGGGAGTCTTTATTTCCATTTACCAGTTTCTTCTTTCTGAGTATTTTCCCAGAGTCTCCCTTCCTTGTAAGTTGGATGAGGCGGGAGTACATTCTGATGGCTTTATTGCAGAAATTAATATCAGGCAAAAGGAGACAGGGTCCATGTCCCTGTTCTGCTTCCCCACCGAAGCCTTCTGGTTTTAAGGATCAGAGTTCTGGCTGTTAGGTTGGGCCCATCCGCAGGAAAAATGACCTGGTGTGCAAGCTGACAGTGTCTGAGGCTGAGAGGGAGGGGGGCTGAGGTGGGGACTCACCCACCTTAATGTGGAAGGTTGAGAGGACCCTTAATTAAAAGAAACATATTTCCCCTAAATGTCCTTAACACTTGATCTCTCACCAGGGACCTCCTGGTCATCACATCTTTCTTCCCTTTTCCCTAGGATGTGTATTTCTTTAAAAATCATTTTCCCAATGACAAAAACACAGCTTAAAAACTCAAAGGGAAAAAGAGAACACCCAAAGCACCAATTCTCACTACCCAAAGACAACGACTGTGCGCTCTTCTATGTATTCTCTTTTAGTTTGGTGTTTGTTTTCTCCTGTGTGTATTTACAACGATGACAAATACGGACTTCGACTGTACTCTTGTTGTTTTTGTTTTTGAGTAGCAGTATGTTGGGGTCTCTTTCCCAGGTGAATAAATCATGTTAAAGCACTGTTTCTGAAGGCTGCACTGAATTACACCCTCATTTATTCTACCCATTTCCCCATTATTGCTTGCACAAATCAATTCAATCTAGCAGTGACCAGTGTCGACTTCTCTGAGTTCTCTGAGCCCTGGGAGGCACGCAAGCATAGGGACGCACGGAGACCCCGGGCGGGATGGATGGAGCTGCATTGGAGCCCATGGCCCTGGGCAGCAAAGGGGAGGAAGGACCCCATCAGTCAGAAAGTACCCTTAGTGAGTGGATGTCCCATCTTACACATAGTGACATCATTGGGCTGACTGTTCTCTTTTTGGACCCTAGAATTGTGCTTTTATCCAGCCACCCTCCCCTTCAGTCAGGGACCTACTATGTGTGCACGCTTTCTTTGTGTAAAGAGGCTGGTATCATGAAGGTTTGGACAGTTTTTGTCTGGGGAAGGAGGCGGTCACACTGCCCTGGGCTTACGTTTCCACACAGAACATGGCGACAAATCCAGACTTTGGGAGTCAAGGGGGAAGTCAGCTTTCCACTCGAAAACCTGCCAGTTCGTCTCTGCAGTGTGGCGAGAGGGCATAACGGAATTAGGAAATATTTGTCTACCACTTTGGTCAAATAAGACTGCATCAAGAAACACTTTGATCCCCAAAAATATCCTAATGAGAAAGATTGTCATTATAATGTCCTCCAGGTCCATTTTTGAAATAATGCTTATGTTTTAACTTGTCACAAAGGCAATAATGTTCAGTGTAAAAAAAAACACAAAAAACTGAAAACAGATAAAAAGGCCAAAGAAGAAACTGGAAACATTTGTAGTCACTAGCCACTACCCTCATGCAGCCTCTCTTAGCACACTAATGTTGCTGTGCATCTCCTTCCTGTGTGCATTACACACACACATCTGCAATCACATTTAACATTTTTTGTGTAGCCATGGTAAAACTGGACTGCAGTAAGCACTTAGTAAATGCTGGTTGAATGGATGAATCTCTGAGCCCCCAATTTCTTTATAAAGTGAGGATAAGACAAGTATCTACCCCTGTGGGGCAGATTTAACCTGAGGATTAAATGAAGCAAAGCAAGGAAAGTGGGTTATTAAGTTTTTATTTTAATTCCAGTCAGTTAACATACAGTGTAATATTAGTTTCAGGTGTACGATAGAGTGATTCCACACCTTCATACAGCACCCAGTGCTCATCCCAACAAGCGCCCTCCGTCATCCCCCATCACTTATTTCATCCACCCCCCACCTATCCTCCCCAGCAGTGTGTTCTCCATAGTTAAGTCTGTTTCTTGGGTGATCTTGCTCCAAGTCTATCAGATAAGAGATCTGATGCCCCCTGACAATGCCTCTCCTCAGTTACTCCAGCCCTTCCTCAGTTATACCTCCAGCCCTTCCTGAGCTGCCTTCCTGCCTCCAGCTCCGCTCCTTGCTCCTGTGTATGCGAGCCATGCCACGCCTCCTTGTTATTGCTGGTTCTAGCATTTCATCCTTCAGAAAGGTTGCCAGAAGAGTGCAAAGAACTTTCATATCTCATCCAGATTCCCCAGCTGTCAGCATCTTGCCACATTTGCTCTAATTCATCATTCTCTCTCTCCCTCCCTTTCTGTCTCAAAAGATAGACAGGCAGACAGATAGTTATAAATGTACTATTTTTCTCCAGGACCACTTGAGAGCAGGGTGCAAATATGATGTCTCATCAGCCTTTTGTAGTTCAGAATGATTTTACTAGCAACAAGGATGCTCTCCCACATAATCCAAGCAGAAACTAACTGACACAATATCACCAGGTTATCTGTAGCCTTCTTTCCAATTTAGCCCGCTTTGCAAATAATGTCCTTCATAGTCCCAAGACCTAGAATCGTTTACTTAGTTGTGATGCCTTCCTTCAATCAGGAACACTTCTTCAGACTTTTCTTGTGCTTCCTGACCTCAACATCTTGAATGCCACGGTTACCTGGCAGATGGTTCCTTGTTGTGGGTTTCCTGATGTTTCCTGATGATTAGGGTCAGGTTATGCAACTAGAGCAGGAATCTCACAGAAGTGATGCTGTGTTGTTCTCAGTGCATCATGTGGGGAGGCATTTGGTGCCAACCTGTCCCATCACAAACGATGTTAAACTTTATCGCTTGCTTTAGAAAGTCTCCACCAGGTTTCTCCACTGTAAAGTATATTGTATTTATGAATTTATAAGTGCCCATTATTAGTGGGCATTTCACTGTATAATAAAAGCATCTTTTCTCCTTCACTTATGTATTTATTCATTTATTTATTTATATCATCATGACCTCATAGATTCCCTTTTTACTTAATGGGATAAAATCTGATATTATCTTTACTGCTTTGACGCACAAATTGTCCCAGATTTATCTAGTGGGAGCCCTTCAAGCTGGATCCTATGTCCTTTTGCTGTTCTTTCTACCAATTTTTGAGTCCTTTCTTACTTTTTGGCACATAAGGTATTAGGTTCTGCACAGCACAAGAAAGCATCAACAAAATGAAAAGGCCACCTATGGAGTGGGAGAAAATATTTGTAAACCACATATCCGTAAGGGGTTAATATCCAACATATAAAAGGAACTCATACAACTCAAAAGTAAAAAACTAAATAACCCAATTTAAAAATAAGCAAAGAACCTGAATAGACATTTTTCCAAAAAAGACATACAAATAGCCAACAGATACATGAAAAGGTGCTCAACATCACTCAGGGAACATCATCATCAGGGAAATGCAAGTCAAAACCACAGTAAAATATCACCTCACACCCATTAGAATGTCTATTATCAAAAAGACAAGAGATAACAAGTGTTGGTGAGGATGTGGGAAAAAGGGAACCCTGTGTACTGTTGGTGGGAATGTCAATTGGTAGAGCCACTATAAAAAACAGTATGACGGTTCCTCGAGAAATTAAAAATAGAGCTACCATATGATCCAGCAATTCCACTTCTGGATATATATCCAAAGGAAACAAAATCCTTATCTCAAAGAGACATCTGTATTCCCCTGTTCCCTGCAGCATCATTCACAATAGCCAAGGCATGGAAACAACAGAAGTCTCCATCAACAGATGAGTAAAGAAAATGGAATGACCCAAAGCAGAAGTCCCATTCTAATGGTTTTTTTCCCCCAGTTTTATTGAGAAATAATTGATATATAATCACTGTATATGTTTAAGGCACACAGCATGATGGTTTGATTTATGTATATTGTGAGATGATGACCACAATAGGTTCAGCCAACATCTACCCTCTCATACAGATACAATTTTAAAAAAAGAAGAAGAAAAGAGGGAAAAATTTTCTCCTTGTGATGAGAACTCTTAGGATCTACTCTCTTAACACCTTTCCTGTATATTCTACAGTAGTGTTATCTGTGGTCATTATGTCATACATCACATCCCTAGGACTCATTAATCCTTTAACTGCAAGTTTGTACTTTTTGACCCCCTTCCTCCGATTCCCTCTTCTCCACCCTCTCTGCCTCTGGTGACCACAAGTCTCATCTCTTTTTCCATGAATTTGTTGTTGCTGTTGTTTTTAGATACCACATATAGGTGAGATCATACAGTATCTATCTTTCTCTGTCTGACTTATTTCACTTATTGTGATGCCTTCAAGGTCTATCCTTGTTGTCACACATGGTAGGATTTCCTTGTTTTTAATGGCTGAAATATATATATATCACAATTCTTGATCCATTCATCCACTGATGGAACTTAGGTTGTTTCCATGCCTTGGCCATTATAAATAATGCTGCTATGACCATGGAGGTGTGGATATCTTTTTGAGCTAGTGTTTTCATTTCCTTTGGATATATTCCGAGAAGTGGAATTGCTGGATCATATGACAGTTCTATTTTAATTTTTTGAGGAAATTCCATATTGTTTTCCATAGTGGCTGTTCCCATTTACAATCCCAACAGTACACAAATGTTGTCTTCTCTCCACATCCACACTAGCATTTGTTATCTCTTGTCATTTTGATGATGGTTTTTAAAACAGGTGTGAGGTGATATCCCATTGTTATTTTAATTTGCATCTCCCTGATGACTAGTAATGTTGAACATCTTTTCATACACCTGTTGGCCTCACATACATCTGTTTTGGAGAAATATCTATTCAAGTACTTTGCCCATTTTTTAATTGGGTTGTTTTTGTTTTTGTCTTGTTTTGTTTTGTTTGTGATTGAGTTCCATGAGTTCTTTATAGATTTTGGATATTAACCCCTTATCAGACATATGGTTTGCAAATATTTTTTTCCATTCTGTAGCTTGTCTTTTCACTTTGTTGATGGGTTCTTTTGCTGTGCAGAATCTTTTTAGTTTGCTGTGGACCCACCTGTTTTTTTTTATTTTGTTGCTTATGCCTAGGTATCGTATTAAAAAAAATCATTACCAAGACCCATGTCAAAAAGCTTTATTCCAGTGTTTTCTGTTCCATGGTTCAGGTCTTATATTTAAGTCTTTAATCCATTTTGAGTTAATTTTTGTGAGTGGTGTAAGATAGAGATTCTGTTTCATCCTTTTATGTGTAATATCCAATAAGTTCTGGTACGTTGTTTTCATTTTTGTCTCAGGAAACTTTTGTATTTCTCCCTTTAATTTCTTCCTTGATCCATCGGATGTTCAGGACAGTGCTATTTAATTTCCATATGTTTGTGAATTTTGCAGTTTTCCTCTTGTTGCTGATTTCTAGTTCCGTGCCATTGTGGTCAGAGAAAATATTTGGTATGATTTCAATCTTCTCTCATTTGCTAAGACTTGTTTGTGTCCTAACATATGGTCTGTCCTGGAAAATGTTTCATATACACTTGTATTCTGTTGTTGCTGGATGGAATGTCCTGCATATGTCTGTTAGGTCCATTTGGTCTACAGTGTCGTTCAAGTCTGCTGTTTCCTTATTGATTCTGTCTGGATGATCTACCCATTGTTCAGAGTAGGGCAACAAAATCCCCAACTATTACTGTATTCCTGTTTATTTCTCCTTTTAGCTCTGTTAATGTTTGC